CTTTAAAAAAAAAAAAAAAAAAAAAAAAAAAAAAAAAGAAAAAAAAAAAGATTTTGTTCCAAAACGTCTTGACAAGTTTAAGTTTTCATGCCATGACTACTCTACCATATATGACTAGGCCTACAATCACCACTAAGCCTTTCAGGGTTATAGTAACATACAGTGAATATAAAAGTGGATTCCACTGGAAGAAGTGGTTAATAGACCAAATCCTCTTTTTTAATATTTTGTCACTTTGTTGTTTGAGCTTGGCCTCTACGTTTGTTCAGCAGTTTATTATTGGATTTCTCCAAGTTTTTTAGGTGAACTGCATCATAATCAACTCTCATAGTTGCTAGAGCTTGGGTCATTTCCTCCTGTAGAAGACAAAAAAAAAGGGTTCACTAAAACAGAAGGCACATTTGTTACAACACACACAAAATAAAACTTGTCTAGGTATTTAACCACACTTCATCTTCATTCTTATAAACATAAGAAAATAAAACCCACTTAACCTTCTGACTTTACATTATCTTTAATTAATAAAACCCACTTAACCTTCTGACTTTACATTATCTTTAATTAATAAAACCCACTTAACCTTCTGACTTTACATTATCTTTAATTAATAAAACCCACTTAACCTTCTGACTTTACATTATCTTTAATTCTGCTACATCAACAAGTGGGAATCCTCAACAGCCATGGCACTTGAAATTATTTTAGGCAGAATTAGAGTAAATTAATCTAAGAGACCCATTTTTCCTTTTTATTAGCTATATTTTTGTACAACAGCAGTACTAAGTGTGGGGTGTTTGTATACCCAATTCAATTTTATTACTCACTAGGATCTCTACCAGCCCACTCTCAAATTGAAATTCTTTAAGGTAGAATTATAGTAATCTATGAGACCCTAAACGTGGTCAAATACACCAATCGAAAGGGTTTGACCTCCCGAGTCCAAAAGTGTAATTAGATCTCGGAACAGTCAAGAGATGATGGAGCAATGAGCTAACTGTTTGAAAAACTAAGCCATTCTACAAGCCACTATGCCACGGCGAAATATCAAACCCACATAACCTTCTGGCTATACATAATCTTTGACTCTTCTACATCAAAAATAAAACCCACCTGAACCTCTGGCCACACATCACCTTCTTCTTTCAGTACCTTCACTGAAAATAATGGAGTCATTGGCACTTCTGTGTATTTCTGCATAAGAGAGAGTATTACAGTTAATTTCAAATATTAGGCTCATAATAAAATCATAAGTTAGTTGAAAACAGGATTTAATAAAAAATATTATCTTTGAACTGTTTCTGTCAACAGCACATAAAAAACTTAACTCATTTTTGGATAGAATAGAGATGTGACCTGACAAAATTGTAAAACACTAACTGACCTCCATAATTCACTTTTGAATTGTTACAAATCAGAGGTGGCGCTAGGCACTAGCACACGCGACCCATGTCCCTAATCCCCAGTTGGTGTCTTGAAAAATAAAAATGGAAAACCATGATTAATATCATACTTAAATACCAAAAATTTCTGCATCTGAACCAGAGCCCCGAATCTTTTAAGCTCCTAGCGACACCTCTTGTTACAAATTCTCAGAACTTGAATTAATAATCCATTTGAGAAATAATCAGACTGGTGTAATTAACAATGTACAAATGAAAAGAAGTCAGAGAAAAAAACTGAAATTATAAAAAAGATGTATAATATGAGTTCAGTCATTTCATGTAAAAATTATAACATGATACAACGTGAAACTTTTGTGCAAATTCAGAACATCCAACTCGATATTTGAAAATGAGAATGTACATTAAGCTAGAGAACAAAGTCAATCGTCCTACTGTTATTAAATGCAAAAAAACAAAACAAACAACCAACAACACACACACATGTAAAGTAATGTGAAGAAGTGTATTTACTTTTGCAAACAGTCAAAATAACCATCCTTTGTTCTTTCTCCATTTTTAATTCTTACTTTTATGGAACTTCAGCTAGTTTATAGATAAGATATTTTCTACTAAACTTTCATAAAAGTGGTTTATACATAACCTGATGATAAAAAAAATTTATTTAATGAAATACTGCTTTCACATGGTTTATTTTATTCAGATCATACACTTACAGCTATCCATTTATTGCTGAGAACTTCCTCAATTGTCAACCTCTGAGCTGGGTCAGTCATTAGCAGGCCATGTATCAAGTCTTTTGCTAAATAAAACAAATTCTGTAAAAAGTTGGCTAAGAAATAACTAACCATCATTAAAATTTTAAATGGAGGAAATGATGGATGTAAATGGTCACTTTAAATGTGTAAAACACTCAACTGAGCAATTTCTTAGTACATATAGTTACCAAAAATTAGAAGTTATATCATAATTATTCAAATATTGTTTCAAGGTTCTCTTTAAAACAATACTATGAAGTTCAATACAACCTAATTAGTTAGAAGGTTCTGAAGCTGAAATAAAAGAAAAATATGTAAGCAAACAAAACTGTGTTTTGGGGTTGATTTTAGCATAAACCCACATTGGAAACCCTGGATTTTTGTGTTACAAGTCTTAAATGTATCACTGATACAACAAATGGTAACAAAGTTAGTCCAAACATTTATATTAACAAATATATGAGAAATGTCATTTAATGAAATCCTTAAAATTTAAAATACTTTCTACTTCAAAACTATTTATAGAACCATTAGCATGAAATACTAAACATAAAAAATTATTAAACAAGTCTTCACCTGAATTAATCATAAATGGTGAAACAGCAATGCTAATCAGAATACTGTTTCTGAATTTTTAACTTTTTCCTTGTTCATCAAATTAAAAAGTTAATCTGACTAATGTAGTTGTTAAAGTCTGCATCCTGTTATTGTTTTTTTTTACTTTCTTTCTTCTTTTCTTAGATACCTTATTACAATGAAATAGTTTGGCGAATAGGTAGCAGTATTTTATTACCAACTGATTAATTTTAACAGTGGAATTACCGACATCAGAGAAATGTTAATTACTTTTTCACCAATACCTGACAATTAAACAATATATTACATGGATGATCAATTCATCTTTTCTATCTATTATTTCAGTTACACCAACTTCAGGAATATTCAGCTTAAGTGAAAACTGTAATTCCCAAAATCTTGTAACTAAAAGAAAGTTAACTATATAGCTGAAAAATAATACAACTTAAAAGAGAAAAAATTACATAATGAAAATTATTCTGTTTGAACAAAAACAAAAGATTAGAAATACTTAGTTATAAATCAATACACAAAAAAACTATCACTAATTATAGTTAGAATGCACTGAATCGTCAATTAGTTGCACATCTTGTTAACGATATTTTCAGTCATGATACCAATAGTTTCTTATGGGTTTGGGCAAGCTTAGAAAAAATTAGTTACATTAGTCCTAAATCTAAACACTTAGTCAATAATGCAAGATCATTTTCAAAGTGCAGTATTTTTTTTTTTTTAAAAAAAAGTTATTTTGAGCAATACAACCAATAACGTATTTTGAAGTAGTTATGAACATCCCCCCCAAACAAAACTGCATATATTATTACTTAAAAGCAACACAAATTCATAAAAAAAAGAGAATGTGTTCCTCCTCCCCAGAGAATTATATGGATGTCCTGTCACCAAATCTTATATATATATTGTGGTGTCTGTCCAAGCATTCATCTATATTGGTTATAAGTAATATATAATGAAACATAAGAGAGAATTATCAACGAATTGTGAAAGAGAGGATGTGACAGGAGGGTCTGATTTTCCAATCAATAGCTCTATAAGCAAACAAAAGTAAAGACCACAAAAATTATGGTTTTTCTGAGCAATAATGATTTTTATAGAGAGTAATTTACGTATAATGTTGTACATTTTCAAGGGGTGATGGATAAATAGGGATGATGATGTGCTAAGACAAAATGAGTCACATGGGTCACACTAGTGGAAATTTAGGATTTTTTTAAATATTTCCTTGTAGAATTAAGAACTTAAAACTTGTATACTATTGAAATATGGATTATTGGCTAAGATTTTACTATTCTAATTGGTATAAGAAGTAGTATAATAAAATTTTGAATGTAAGACACTAAAACCTTGTGTCGTGCAGTAAAGGATACCTGGAGTGATAGGGTTAATATGACTGAAATTACTTGTTGCAGTCGGCAGTATAAGTAGCTTGGAGCTTTGGCTCTGAGTGAAACCAAGAGTGCAATACAAGTAATTTTTTTAGAGTCCATGAAATAATTCAAGTTGAAAGACAAACTTAAAATTTTCCCATCACTGGGGATGGATAAGTATTTACACAAATCTCCCAAACAAAGTTTAGGGGCCAATGAAAACTAAAGCTAAACCCTTAACTTCAAGCATGTAATTTTAATTAGTTTGACATCAGTAAATAGCTTCAGGGACATTGTTTAGCACTTAAGTTGGTTGCAGGAAGATACTGAAGGGAAATCCTACAAACTTGCAATGCATTAGGTGCACTAAAAATAACAGCCATGGTAAACTTTATTCTTGAGTGAAAGCATCTGCTTTAAAACACGATTTACTGTAAATTAATTTTTTTCCCCATCATGTGTTAAAAAAATTATCAATCTTTTAAAACATTAAATACATTTTGTTGCAATTGCAAGGTGAATACCAACACAGTTTAGCTTTTACAAATTTTTAAATAATCGCTGCTATTGTTCACAAAGTAGACTAAGTGGTTCTTTACACAAATTCTAAAGAAACATTTTACATTACTACAAACGGATTTTCACACTAGAGCAATGTTTCCAAACCAGAGTCTGTCTGTCACAATCACCTTGTAGGTCTGCGAGATTTCACAAAAATAAACAAATGAAAACTGACAGAATGTAACACCATTATGATTTGCATATGAATATTCTACTTGCATTTTAGTGATGCACGACACTTTTGGAAGGCAGCAAGCTGACCCCTGGTATAAAAAGGCTGATAAATGCTGCAGTAAAGTAAATATACAATAGTTGCTTCAACAATGTTCACACTTTTCAGTGTTAGTGGTAAGAATAAAGGAATAATTTATACTTACCATCTTGTGTAACACACTTCCATTCAGGGTAAGGAAAGTCATACTGCCCTGCTCGAATTCTCTTTTTCATTCCAGGAGAGATAGCCAACCCATGGTTGCTGTAAAAAGGGGGAAAACCACAAAGCCTGCAAAATGGGGAGAGGGAGGGATAAAATGTTTTTATTAAAATAAAAAAATCAATACAATGACTGCAGTAAAAAGAAAGATCATGAAATATTTTTTAAATATGAGCACTGTATCTCAAGAGTAATGTTTGTTTTTGAGAGATATAACAACTTTTTGAATATTTTAATTAAAATGCTGAAATAAAAAAAAATATTAAAACCTAGGTGAATAATTTGAAAAGTATATTATTTTGAATTAGTATTAAGTATGCTGATTTTAAGACTTTTTCCCACAAACTACAGGAAATTAAAACATTTCATTAGTGTAGTGTGGGAAAACTTTATATATATATATAATAATAATAATAATAAACAAAAAAAAAAAACAACAACAAACAAACTTGGTTATGATTTTCTTTTACTTATTTACATGATCCATTAGATCCACGACAAGAAAATACTAGCACTATCACTTATGCATTTAGTGTCAGTGTCTTAATCATAGATTCTGTACTCTATATGTAGGGATGACCAAGGTACTCAACAAGCATAATACAAATATGCACACTAAAATAATCAGTGACAAAGTTTTACTATAAAAGACGATTGCTCCTCACTTTAATTTGTTTCTCTACCCAACAAGCCCCAAAACAGAAAATGACCAACCCACCAGATTGTTCATCTTTCTTCTTCTTTCAGTCAAGATAACTCTTCAACTACTTTATCACTAACATCAGTTTAAATCTAAATCCACTATGTGTTTCTGAGCAGTGCACGATGTCATTGCTTAGTCATAACTATTAGTAATTTAAAAAAAAAAATCATAATTCTAGTGTAAATGATGTTATTGCGCCTTCAAGTTAGCATTTTTATAGGAATCTTGTGTTCCTTTAAAAATTTTAAATACAGGGTGTAACAGGAATTACCAGCTAATAACAGATGAACATTAGATGACTGTAACATGTAGAATATTAAATGCTTTGTACACTACACAATTGGTGTTTTTAGGAAGCAAACCCATGCATTATGTACAAAATGAAGAAGCACAAAATAAATACACAGAATATTAAATTTTATTACACACACATTCATAGAATACAACTTTCAGTCAGGGAAAAAAAAAAAATGTCACAAAACAATACAAAACATTTTGTAAATGTAAAATGATATATGGATGGCAGTGCCAAAAAGAATGCAAACAAGAATATCGGGATAATACAGCTATACATAGATCATTCCTACATGACTTTCAATATTAAATTTTACTGTTATACAGTAAAATGCATACTTTAATATTACTGCAGTTGGAAGTTGTATATTCCTGACTGTTGGTATGCACTTTGTTTATCATAATAACATGGTCATGACATGGTAGGCATCAATGTAGTGTAACTAGAGCCTAGAAAACCAAGTTGCATCAAAACATGTCTATTATTACAGACTCTTGCTATGAGGTTTGTCAATTGAGTTTTTACGAGTTATTCGTATATACACACACACACACACACACACACACACACAAAAAAATCAGAATGTTTAATGAAGTGCTTTTGCTAAAAATTTCTCCATGAACACATGAAATCAAACTGTTGACTGCTCCGAGTGCATAGTGATTTTCATGTTATGATTAAAAATACTTTTCTCCATCTGAAAATTGTCAAATTTCATTTGCATAATCTCTAAAATTTTCTAAATAAATATGAAATGTTTTCTTTCAGTAAAACTTTATATTTTCGACCATAAAAAATATGAAATAAATCTAAATCTTTTCTTTCTAGTATGACTGCAACTTGTTACAAGGAACTATAGTTGTTTATCCTAAATACCTTAAAGCTCATAACATTATAACATCTGTTTCTACTTAAATATTATTGGTTTATTGCCTTTCGAGCCATGTCTAACTAATAATCCTGCCTCAGAAGTTGTAAATGACTCAGCAAACGTGTAGCTCATGTTACCATGTCGATTTACTTTGTGAAGAATTATTATTTTTCATCAACTTACGTAACCTAATAAGTTTAATTTTTAAATTTGTTACATTTATAATAATAAATAAACAAACATGAAAAATAGTACTTACCTTGTTTTTTTTCTGTCGATTGTTGATAAAACTTAAGCCTACTTTATATATATAAAGCAGGCTTAAATTTTATCAACAATTGACAGAAAAAAAACAATCCCAAACAAAAGTTAAATCAAAAGTGCTGCATAAATGAATGGGATCCCCAGGGTACAGGCTACAATGTGGGGTATAAAATGTGCCTTGAATTTTGGAGGTGACTGTGGAAGTAGGACTTGTATTGCAGTGGGGATACACCATCTGTCAGTCTTAACCTCCATTCACCAGTCTTGCATGAAGAAATTGTACCCGAGAACACAGTTATAGGACATTGTCTCTTTTTGCATGTTATTATTCTATCATAATTTTTCTGGCTTCCTAATTATGCAATAAGATGCCTTAAAAATTCAGCTAAACTCGTAAATCTGATTTCTGCGAGAATAAATTTGAAACAGAATGACAAAATAGACAATGCCCTCCATAAAAAAACAACATAATATGTCAACTGATAGATTAAAACTGGCTTTCTGTTGGTCATAAATAATATAGTATAAAATGTCAGAGAGAACTAGTGGCAATTTGTGAAAGATGGAATGTGACAGGTGGGCATGGCAAGGGGTCCAATTTTGTAGTTTGTGGCTCTGTAAACAAATGGCATTCAAGGCTATAAAAATTATGCTCTGCCTGGGTAATATCTATATTATAATGAATAATTTATGTTAAATTCTGTACTTCTCAGAGGGATAGTAAAGAAATTAGAGAAGAGGATTTTTTAAAATATTTCCTTATAAAATTAAAAACTTAAAATTTGATTTTCAAACTATGTTTTGATGACAAGTTTATTCATATATAATAATAATAAAGAAGTTTAATTAAATTCTTAATGTAATTCTCTAACAATTCGTGACGTGCACTTTGACCTGCCCATGGCAAGTGTTAATAAAGTCACTATCTAGATTTGATGACTCATTGTTTGTGACACTTGTATGCATCTTGCTTGTGTGTTTTCATAACAATTTCTATTATTGTATATGTAATATTGATGCTACTATTAAAAAACTACAAGTTTACTCACAGTATATACATAATAACTCCTAAGGACCACATGTCACAAGACTTGTCATATTTTTCTGGACCAAGAACTTCCGGTGCTATAAAACAATACATTAACAAATCAATACAGAAACGACAGCTGTACGCTGCACCTTCAATACTTTTTTTTTCTTTTTTAAACAGAAGTAGACAGAATTTATAAATTGAAAATTTTGTTTTCATACTTTTTTAATTCTTAAAAGTTTTGCCATATGGGCCAAGATTTAACCATGACTACTAAAATGCTAATAAGCATTATTAAAGTGATTATTACGAGCCAAAATCTTACTTTTTATAGTTAATTATGTTACAAAATCCAAAACTGTGGCAAAGTTTGAGAAAATATTTCTTTACAGTAGTGTTTTATTGACTCTGAGAAGCTAAAACAATATCTTTTAAGGAATATAAAAAAAAAAGTCACAAAATTGTCAATTCACATCTTAGAATCCAAAATAGCAAAAAAATGCTCAATTTATGCCCATTGGAGAAGAAGTGTCATTCTATTAAAAATTAAACAAAAATCCATAATGAAATACCTATAAAACACAAAATTATAAACTATAAGATTCAGAAATAAAAAAATTGAGCTCCTTCAATGTCACAAAATTTTGCACATTGGATTTCATGCTTAGAAGATTTAAATTTAAACTTCACATCATTAGAAAAGTCTTCTAAATATCTTTATGTAAAATAAGTTGATTCATACTAAAAACAATAACTCACCAACATAGTATGGGGTATAACAAGGTGTTTGAAGACAGTTTATGTTTGTTGTTTCTTTAGCAAAACCAAAATCTGTAAGTTTGAGAGTTCCACTTGGTGCAGGTTGAGAATAGAGAAGATTCTCAGGCTAAGTAAAATAAAACTAGTTACTTCTTTTGGCTCTGAAAGTTAACATAGAAAATAAATATATTTCCACCTCCTTAAAGCCAAATCATTTACTTTATAATACAATCTTTATTTTAAACATCTTGGTTGATGTTGCAAGTCATTAGTATATGTATCCCAACAAATATTACCAAATTTAAAAGCTTTTATTTCTAACAAAATATTTCCAAAAGTATTTAATAACTAAATACTTATTATTCATTGCAACTTTTGCATTAATCCGTATCATTATGCAAAAAATTATGATTCCTCAAATACAAAAATATTTAATAAATCTTTATCTCAAATCATATATAAATAAAGCTGTACAGTAGAAGAAAAATATGTTCAAAAAGAAACACTATACAAATTTTCCCCAATAATGTTTATGATCCTATTCCTTATGATGAGTTCTTTCTTTACCTTCCACTTTTTTGTAATCATATCTACTTTAGGAAGAATGAGAAGTTAGAGATGCTATGCACAAAAGATCTTGGATAATGTTTTACAAATCATATCACGAACCATACGACTATCTTTATGTTGATTCTTGAATGAGATGGGGAGATTTTATCACCCCCCCCCCTTATCGCTACTGGCCAAGTTTCTCTTTGAGGGTATTCACACACTGAAGCCTACAGCAAAACGACAAGGTACAATGAACCAACATCTATGCACAGCTACTAAACAAACTGCTTGAGTGGACTGAGAGTATTTAGTATCCCTTACTTTCCCCATCTGCACTTTTGAAGACCGTTTAGAGTAATTGCTAAATTATATATCATATAACCAAAACCATTAAACACAACTACCAACTTTCTAGCCAATTATATATTTCTTCAATTCTAATGAAATATTAAAATGATTATATTATGGTTTACATTCCAGTATATTTAGATACAAACATTATGTAATACCTTTAGATCTCGATGAGCAATGTTCATTCTGTGGAGGTGTGCAACGGCTTCACAAATTTCTTTCATGATTCCTGCTGCCTCTTTCAAAATAATTGAAAAAGTTCACAAACACTTAAAACCATGATAAAAATAGTTATTTCTAATACCTTTCTGTTTATGTAATGTATAATCCAAACATTCTTCTTCTGTAACATTGAAAAAAAGCTGTACACATAAAATGCATTATAGTTTGAATTTTTTCTGAACAAATTTTGTACAAGATATTTTCTGATGAATCTATACAAACTCAAACATAGTTTTGTTATGATTATATTAATATCATTTTGGTTTCCTATGTGAAATGGAATTTCCATAAGTTAGAAAGCTCAGTTAAAACAGGAGGACTTCCGATACAACTGTACTAAAAAAACAATGTCATTCTGCTACACTTCTTGAAAAGAAATACAGAACAAAATATTATTTTAAAAGGATCTTTGAATGTAAAAACAACAAAAAAAAGTATTCTTATATGCAGTTTTTACTAACAAAATTTTAAAGTGGTCAAATTAGTTGACATTGAGAGGTCTGCCTTTAAAGATATGCTTGAAGTCATCGTAGCTCCTAAATATATCACTATAATGACATGAAAAACTGTGCTTTACCCCTTTCTGTAAAAGCTCCTTCTGCCCGCTGCTGAATTCGAGAAAACAATTCTCCTCCTTCCATACTGAAAAGCCAAACACAGGAAAACTGATTATAAATATATCTATTTAATTTTCTGAGATATCACTATATTTAGCATATCAAACAAAGCGGCACCACCTACCTCTTCCAATTTTGGAAATACTTGTTTACTTACACTCACTTCACTCTATCACAATGCTTTTTATATTCAATTCTTAATAAATGGCATTAATGATAGAAATTCATTCCTCGACTTCTGAAAATTAAAATAAAAGTTAGAGAACACTGCTTTTATATATCATTTCCGCCTTGTCATATCCTAAAGATACTCAACTGGAGATGCAAGTAATCTTGTGATAAAAGAATATCCTACAGTGGGTGAGAACACTGCTTTTATATATCATTTCCACCTTGTCATATCCTAAAGATACTCAACTGGAGATGCATGTAATCTTGTGATAAAAGAATATCTTACAGTGGGTAGGCAAGCTACTCCTAATAATATTGAAAAACAAACTATAAAACTAATTACACAAATAAGTAAAACTATGTAGCTAAGGTGACACAGATATCTCTGTCATTAATACATGCATCGTGTGCTTGTTTTCTCATTGCAATTGTAGCCTGTTTACTTTAGAGTGTGACAGTAATGTTCACTGTATAAAAATTAATTTAGTGATGGACAGGTTTATAACATAACCTAAAGAAAGAAATTAGAAAGTGAGTGAATTGCCATGTGATAATATATATATATATATATATATATATATATATATATATATACACACTACTGTACGTACTATATATATAGACACAACAAACACAC